CCGGGGCCGGCCCCGGCCACCCCCGGCCCCGCGCCGCTCAGGTAGTCAGCGCCCCTGGCATCTTCCCCCACCGCGCGGCCCCGCGCCGATCCCCCAACCTCCTCGGCAGAAACCCGATCCTACCCCGAGAGCCTGCGCCGGGGTCTCCGAGAGCCCTGCTTGGGTCCCCCCAGAACTCGGGGGCTGCCTCCCCCACACTCCGGGCTCCCCTGCCCGCGCTCCCCCGGCCTCGGGACTGCCTCCCGCGAAACCCAGCGCCTGGGTACCCCGGACCTGGCCTTGCTCTCCCAAGAGTTGGGGACATCAGAACCCTTGGGACCCCAGCTGTCCTGCCCCCTTTAGCCCGGAGGAGAGAAACCCAGGGTCCCCTGACCTCATGGACTCCCCGAGAGCCCAGGCCCGGGAATTCACAGAATGCTTTGTGAATTTCCAGCCTTTTCCCTTCCAACGGAAACACTCCTGCCAGGGTGGGATTCTTTAAAAAAAAATTTTTTTTGGAGGATCTAGAGAGGGATGGCACAGTCAGAACCCTACGGGATGCTGTCTTCTTTGGCAAAAAGGGCAGTGAGAGGAAGGGGATTTTGTCTCTTCTCATAACACGGAACCTCAGAGACTGAACCCATATGTTTTGGGAGGGGAAGGGAAGGGTTGAAAGGTGGAACACCTTGATTCCTGGGCACCTGGAGGGGGCTGGGCAGGTGGTGGCTGTGTATGTGGAATCCAAGTGGTGGGTGGTCCGGATGCTGCAGAATACGGGAAGAAACAGGTATCGGAGGGAGATTTTCTTCCCGTGAAGAGTGAGGTCCGGGGTGCTTGTGTTGTGGTGGAGCATGCAGTAACATTGGAAAAGTGTTTTTAAATATACTCGATTCAACAAAAATGTACTGAGTGCTTCCTATATACCAGGCACGTCCACAGAAGGAGATTTAGTATTGAAGAGCACAGAAATGGTTACTACCCTCTCGGAGCTGACAATCTGGTTACTTAACCTTGGTTTCCTTCTCTGTAAAATGGGGTCATAATAATACCTACCTTATTGGGCTGTTATCTGGATTGAAATAATACAGGTAAAGTACTTTAAAAAGTACCGAACACATTCCCAGAGTTATCTAATAATGATATTATTGGAAGAATAATAGCTAATATTTATTGGGTGACGAGTGTGAAATAGATATGGTGCTTGAGTGCTTTATGAACATTATTTCATGAAGGAGTTATAGTTATCCCTATTTTACATAACAAGAAGCAAGCTCACGGAGGGAATGTACCTCGCCCATCATCTCCAACACACTAAGTCTGTCTCTTCTTTCCTTGCAGTGCTCAGGAGCTGTCCCAGGAAATCAAGGCTTTTCTGACTGGTGTCGACCCCATTCTGGGCCACCAGCTCTCGGCCCGGGAACACGCTCGCTGTGGTCTCCTCCTCCTCCGCTCTTTGCCACCTGCTCGGGCTGCCGTGCTCGACCACTTGCGAGGCGTCTTTGATGAAAGTGTCCGGGCCCACCTGGCTGCCCTGGACGAAAGCCCTATGGCTGGCCCGCCTCATCTCCGCCCGCCGGCACCCTCCCACGTCCCCGCTGGGGGACCCGGGCTGGAGGATGTGGTACAGGAGGTCCAGCAAGTGCTGTCCGAGTTCATCCGGGCCAACCCGAAGGCCTGGGCACCTGTGATTAGCGCATGGTCCATTGACCTCATGGGGCAGCTGAGCAGCACATACTCGGGCCAACACCAGTGTGTGCCCCATGCCACTGGCTCTCTCAACGAATTGCTGCAGCTGTGGATGGGCTGTCGGGCCACGCGCACGTTAATGGACATCTATGTTCAGTGCCTCTCGGCTCTTATCGGTAGTTGCCCAGATGCCTGCGTGGACGCCTTGCTGGATACCTCCGTCCAGCATTCCCCGCACTTTGACTGGGTTGTGGCCCATATTGGCTCCTCTTTTCCTGGCACCATCATCTCCCGAGTTCTTTCCTGTGGCCTTAAGGACTTCTGTGTTCATGGCGGGGCTGGAGGTGGAGCTGGTGGCACTGGTGGAAGCTCTTCTCAAATCTCTACAGACCCCTTCCCCGGATCTCCTGCTATCCCTGGGGAGAAGCGGGTACCTAAGATTGCCTCAGTTGTGGGCATCCTAGGGCACCTGGCCTCCCGTCATGGAGACAGCATCCGACGGGAGCTCCTGCGAATGTTCCATGATAGCCTGGCAGGGGGCATTGGGGGCCGGAGTGGGGACCCCTCCCTTCAGGCCACAGTTCCCTTCCTTCTGCAGCTGGCAGTCATGTCACCAGCTTTGCTGGGCACAGTCTCCGGAGAGCTGGTGGATTGCCTTAAGCCCCCAGCTGTGCTGAGTCAGCTTCAGCAACACCTGCAGGGATTCCCCCGAGAGGAGCTGGACAACATGCTCAACCTGGCTGTGCACCTGGTGAGCCAGGCCTCCGGGGCAGGTGCCTACCGCCTGCTGCAGTTCCTGGTGGACACAGCCATGCCCGCCTCGGTCATCACTACCCAGGGCCTGGCTGTGCCAGATACTGTGCGCGAGGCTTGTGACCGGCTGATTCAGCTGCTGCTGCTACATCTGCAAAAACTGGTTCATCACCGGGGAGGGCCTCCTGGGGAAGGGGTGCTGGGCCCACCCCCACCCCCCCGCCCCGTGCCCTTTCTAGATGCGCTAAGAAACCATGTTGGAGAGCTGTGTGGAGAGACATTACGATTGGAACGGAAGCGCTTCCTCTGGCAACACCAGCTCCTGGGCCTGCTCTCGGTCTACACTCGGCCTAGCTGTGGACCTGAGGCCTTGGGCCATCTCCTGAGCCGGGCCCGAAGCCCTGAAGAGTTGAGTTTGGCCACCCAGCTATATGCAGGGCTGGTGGTCAGTCTCTCGGGCCTCCTGCCGCTGGCCTTCCGAAGTTGCTTGGCTCGGGTGCACGCAGGGACTTTGCAGCCCCCCTTCACGGCGCGGTTCCTGCGCAACTTGGCACTGCTCGTGGGGTGGGAACAGCAGGGTGGCGAGGGCCCTGCAGCCCTAGGAGCCCGGTTTGGGGAGTCTGCCTCAGCCCATCTATCTGACCTGGCTCCTCTCCTGCTACATCCTGAGGAGGAAGTAGCGGAAGCTGCTGCCTCCCTCCTAGCCATTTGTCCCTTTCCTGCAGGAGCCCTGTCCCCTTCCCAACTCCTGGGACTGGTGAGAGCTGGGGTGCATCGTTTCTTTGCCTCTCTGAGGCTGCATGGCCCCCCGGGTGTGGCTTCCGCCTCCAGACTTCTGACCCGCCTCTCGCAGACCTCCCCCGCAGGGCTCAAGGCTGTCTTGCAGCTGCTAGTGGAAGGAGCCTTACATCGGGGCAACACAGAACTGTTTGGCGGGGAAGTGGATGAGGACAGCGAGACTGTTTCCGTTGTCTCTGCTTCTTTGGCTTCTGCCTCCCTGTTGGACACGAACCGGCGGCACACGGCCGCTGTGCCAGGTCCTGGGGGGATTTGGTCTGTTTTCCATGCTGGAGTCATCGGTCGTGGCCTGAAGCCACCGAAGTTTGCCCAGTCACGAAATCATCAGGAAGTGATCTATAACACCCAGAGCCTTCTTAGCCTCCTGGTACACTGTTGCAGTGCCCCTGGGGGCAGTGAGTGTGGGGGCGGCTGGGGGGCTCCCACCCTGAGCCCGGAGGCTGCCAAAGCTGTGGCAGTGACCTTGGTGGAGAGTGTGTGTCCTGATGCAGCTGGTGCTGAGCTAGCCTGGCCTCCCGAGGAGCACGCCCGGGCCACCGTGGAGCGGGATCTCCGCATTGGCCGGCGCTTCCGGGAACAGCCCCTACTCTTTGAGCTATTGAAGCTGGTAGCAGCTGCTCCTCCAGCCCTGTGCTACTGCTCCGTGCTCCTGCGGGGGCTGCTGGCCGCCCTCTTGGGCCACTGGGAAGCCTCTCGCCACCCTGATACAGCCCACTCCCCCTGGCACCTGGAGGCATCCTGCACCCTGGTGGCTGTCATGGCCGAGGGGAGCCTCTTGCCACCTGCCCTGGGTAATATGCATGAGGTATTTAGCCAGCTGGCCCCTTTCGAAGTGCGTCTGCTACTGCTCAGTGTCTGGGGCTTCCTCCGGGAGCATGGGCCCTTGCCCCAGAAGTTTATCTTTCAGTCAGAGCGCGGACGCTTCATCCGGGACTTCTCCAGGGAGGGTGGGGGTGAGGGTGGACCCCATCTGGCTGTGCTGCATAGTGTCCTCCACCGCAACATTGACCGCCTGGGCCTTTTCTCTGGCCGTTTCCAGGCAGCTTCACCGTCCACTCTGCTCCGGCAGGGGACATAGCCTCTTCCTCGCTCTAGTCTAGACGCTGAGGATTGAGCAGTGAGACGGGGCTAAGGTGCTGCAGGAAGATGGAGGTTTCTCTCCTGAGACCTTAGCGTAAAGAGCGCTGTCACTTTTTCCCTCTACCTTTTTTTTCTAAATAAAATTTGCCGATTTGAGAAAAACAGTCCAGTGCCTCCGTGATGCTTAGAGCTTACAGCCGGCAACATAGGACAGCGCCTGGCTCTGGACACTCCCGCCTCCGCCCGTAAGCCCCGCCCCGCCCGCAAGCCACGCCCCTCCCCGCCCACCCCGTGAGC